GGTCCAAAGTGTGGTGAGACCTCGGAACTCCTGAGTCCATGTACAAGGACATAGCCATGGAGGGCTAGAACTGAGAGTGAAGCATCCAGTTGATATGAAGTGGGGGGAGATGCATAAGAATGCCCAAACTTGCAGATAGCACCCATTTGAGCTAGCTTTGATAGCTTGATGATCAGAACTCAACTAGAGGAAGATAAAAATTTTTTTATAAAGAAAACAAGTGTAAATTGCTACAATTTGAGGAATTTTACATATACTTACAGATGTAGTAGCTCAATATACCAACTGAGAGGGAAGGAATCTTCACATCAAGGATCAATCCTATCCCCTTCGTACACAGGGTTGATAGGGATGGGCAACTTAAACATGAGGGAGTGATAAAGGCATGAAATGACTTGCTTACAAGTTTTCAAGAGGGAGTTTAGTTTCAGAGTGTGCGGGGGAAGGTAGAATCCCCATTGAAAAGTTTCCATCTTGTCTAGATGAGTCTGGTGAAAGGAGATGGGGATAAGATTCTTGTTATTTGAAAGCAAATAATTGTTATCATGACTAATGGCGATTGTCACAACTATGGAGGTTTTGTAACAAAAAGTGGGGAGTAGTTAATTTTACAGTCCAGGAACAGAGGACCCTAGGACCATGAAGAGAGAAGAACATAAGAGAAATGTGGGACCCTATCCAGAGAAGCAGCAGTGACACCAGAGATGGAGACAGAGATGATGACATGGAGAGAGAGAGCAGCTGAGGACTCCAGAATCATGAAAAGAGAAAGGCTGTATGCTGGCAGCCAGGAGGCAGGCTTGCAGAATGTGCCTTTTGGTTGGTTGTTTAAATGATTAATGTTCCTGAGTGTTTTTATGTACATTAAAAAATAAAACAAAACAAAAACAGAGGGAATAGAAGCAAATACTGTTGAATGATGATGCATGGAGGGGATTGTAAATATTATTGCAATGAAATGAAATACGATAGGACGAGTGTAAAACCTATGTTCTCCCATGTAAACAATCACTCAATTCACAATAACACACACACACACACACACACACACAAATAATAATATAACACTTAAGCAGTAACAAAAAGCAGTAGCCGACCTGCTATGGCATTTTAGAATAAGTAGACATAATTAGCCTAGATTCTTTAAACCAGATCATGAAATTATGACTTAATTAAGTTTTGGTGGGAAGGCTTCGAAAATTCACAACCCCGGTTGCCAGAAGTTGGGGCAGAGGATCCTGGCTGATGGGAATCTTGGAAGGACCTCTTGCCAGCATTACCTTACTGAAAAGAAAACAAGTTTTTGTTATTTTCAATTGCAGTCAATTGTCTTAGACTGTGAGGAATGTGGACTTCACAGAGGAAAACAACCAAGTATAAGAAGCTTCCAGCTGACAGTCAAAAGAAGAAACAAATCTGTGTTGGAAGAAGTACAGTCAGAATGCTCCTTAGAAGGCAGGATGGTCAGACACTGCCTCTTATACCTCGGACATATTATCAGGAGGGACCAATCCCTGGAGACGGATTGGTAAAGTGGTGGGTCAGTAAAAAGAAGACCCCGACTCCACGGCACAGAGGCAGCAGTAATGGGCTCAAGCATAGCAACAATTGTGAAGTTGGTGCAGGACCGGGCAGTGTCTCATTCTGTTGTGCATAAGGTCACTATGAGAAGGTACTGACTCACAGCATCTAACAACAACAAGCTGACAGCCTCAAACCTCTACTTCTCTGGCTCTCTGCTTGGAACAGCAGCTCTCAGTCTCTATTGTGAACTCTTGAGAACATTACTGCCGGTTGTGTTTGAGGGCCTTTCAGAATGATGGTCTTTCTACTTTGTGTGGCACTGCAGGATAATGCACTGTACTGTAAGGTTGGTTTGAATTGCGAGGTTGGTGGTTCAAATCCATCAGCCACTTCTTGGAAACCATATACAAGTTCGCTGAGTTGTAACCAACTCCACAGCACTTACCACCACCATCAGTTACAACTTTGTTATTACTGTGAGCGGAAGAAGGGATTTCAAAAAGAAAGTGAGTTAGGATGTCAAGAGGTCATATTTTCTGAGAGCCACATTTTTTAACCTGCTTTATGCAACTTGATGAAAAATATTATATACTAGTTTCCCGTTTTTAAAACCTAAATTCCATGGCTAGACAGAGTGGAAGCAATTTTGTCTTACAACTTATTCATGGGGTCTGTGGGAATACTCAGTTTAAACTGACATATTAATGCAGGAAAATATTTTGAGAGGCAAAGAAGAGCAATCGTTGGTTTTAGTAATGAATAGATTTAGAAAAAAATGGAGAAGGTGGTTGAAAGGCTCTAAGCAAAATGATTTGGGTAGAGATTTTCTGTTATAATTTCAAACCTCTCCATTATTTACTGTAATACCATTTTGATGATGAAGTGGCATAGTCTTTTGCTGTTGCTAAACATGACCATTCTTCGGCTGAATGTCTTCAATAAAAGGTCTAACAATCAAAGTTAATAATACATTAGTCCCAATTCCCAACTCTTTGCTGGGAAAAACTCATTTTATTTATTATTCAGTTCTTTCTGCTATTTTGCCAAGTCATGGGATTAAAAAAAACAAAAACCTAACACAACAAAACAAACCTAATTACAAATATAGTAATTGTTTTAAATTACTAGGTTCATTAAACATAGTCCATTTGGATAGTTGCTCATTGGAATTTATTTCTGCCTCAGTTCTAATTCTTCACAAAATGTAAGAATTCTTTCCATTAAAATATTATCCTGACCCAGGAATGTTGAAAAGTTCATTGCCTTAGGGTTACTGCAGTCTGAGACCTCTCAAGAGATCTGAAAAAGAAGACTAAATATAGCAAAGTATGAATAGGAAACACAGTTTGAAAATCATTTAGTAACTATAGTTGCATAGAATTTACTCACTTTTCAAATGCTTTTTCTCAATGAAATACCAAATTTGTGAAGCAGAATATACTATATAGCACTTAAAAGAGGAGTTAAATGGTGGATTAACTCCAATGATTAAGGAATCCAGGCAAATGCACAGTAATTCTATGAGGTCAGTCCTATTATCCACATTGAACAGATGAGGGAGCTGAGGCTCTAAGAGATTCACCCACCACATGTCACGCAGTCATAATTGACAAGTGTCTTGTGGGGCATTGCCAATTCAGTCACTTGTAAAAGAAGATAGTTTTAAGTTGAGCATTAGTCATTACTTACAGAGTAAATACCTTAATATGATTAATGACAAAATATTTCACCTATATCAGTTATAGTAAAGTTTAAAGGAAACCAGGATTAGGGGCTTCAGATTTATACAGATCTTTTTCAAATGTAAAATTCTCCTAACTCCTAATTTTCCTGAGTGGATAATAAAATGTGATACATGCACAGAATGTATTATATTCAGTTACAAAACGGAATGAAGTCCTGATACATGTTATAACATGAACCAACCTAGAAAACATTCTGCTAGTGAAAGAACATGAACACACAAGTGCAACTATGATTCCACTTATAGGGAGTCTCCAGAATAGGGAAACTGATCAAGACAGAAAGCAGATTAGTGATTACCAGATTTATTAGTAGTTACCAGGGGCCTGGCCAGGGCCAGGGAGAAATGTGTAGTGACTGTTTCATGGGTACAGGGTTTCTTTTTGGGATGATGAAAATGTTTTGGAACTAGATAGAAGTGGTGGTTGTGCAATATTGTAAATGTAGTAAATGCTACTTAACTATACACTTCAAAATGGTAAAATTTAAGCTATGTGAATTTCAGTTCAATTAAAAACCACATACAGAAAAATGAAACGATGATTGTGACTACAAAGCCCTCAATAAACAGTAGGTAATTTTCTTTCTCTTGGTTTTTCACAATTTCAACATTTAAGCTTTTGACCATTTAAATCAATATGTTAAAAAATCCTCCATTAAGGGCTCTAAATAAGGCATGAATGCAGCTGAGGTCTCCTAATTTGTCCCAGTTGGCAGAGCACCTAGTAGAATTTACAGTATACAAGAAGTTATAAAAATGCTTTTAATTTGAATAAAGTCAAAAGAGAAATATTGAGGAAGAATATAAAATGGTCAGAGCCTAAGAAATTGGCTATCATACATGCATATGTACAGATCTATATATTTGAGCATGCAGATAGTTAAAACACTCAGGATAGAAATTTGTTTTGCCTTACAACTTACTTTGTATTTCTCAAAAATCTGAAGAGTAAATAGTAGCTTACAGTCACCACCCTCTGGGTTTCAGCAAGAGGTCACACACAAGGAGGGCCTCTAGCTGCCATTTCTTATTGCCTCCCTGGTGAGCCAACACGGGAGAGTAAGTTACTTCAGGAGACTCTCAACAGGGCTCCCATTGTTCCCAGCTCAAAATTCAGAGACACAATGGGCCCCATTCACGGGGAGAGCATACAGGCTAGTGAATGGTCCCTTACCATAGTGTTAACTTTTTATTGGGGCATCAAATTTTCACAAACACTGACACTGACTTGCACAAATATGTGTTAATCATTGGGAAAAAAAAAGAAAAGAAAAAGTTTAAAACATAAAACTCAGTGAACACTAAACCAGGGGTCAGGATTGAGTCTTATCCCTAGCTCTGTCTCTGATGTGACTCTAAGCAAGCCAATTGCTCTTTCTGAACCTCAGTTTCCTTGTTTGTAAAATGAAAATGATTTCTAAGGTCACTTAGAACTCTAAAATTCTATAAACACCTATGAGGTCTATTGATGTTGCTACATTATTCACTACAAAGAGTAAAGTTGTGAGCAGAAAAGAACCCTTAGTTTACATCTCTTCATTCACTATCAGCACTTACAAACCAGGAGACTTAATGCAAAACAGGCAGAGAAACTCTATTTTCTTTTTTTTCTCTCTTAACCAGACAAATCAAAATGAATAAAGACCAGGGAATCCCTCCATCCTAACAAGCTAGGATCACTCACAAAGCACAATGCTGAAGGGCATCTACAGATGCCACCAGTACATTTGTGTGTCACTTTTTCTTATGCACTTTGAGAATCTCTTGGCTTCTTTGCAATGCCATAAGATCCCCAGAAGAAACATGCCATTTACAACAATGTGATCAATGTCCCAAGATTCCACACGTCATTTTTTTGTTTTTCCAACTTCAAAACTTGCCAAAGCAAGGACTTTGTCTCCAGAGCCTAGGGAGAAAAGACAAACAATTAACAAATTTCAGATGCATTTACAGTTGCAGGTAGAGAGAGAAACATCTTTCCTACAAATACTGAAAGAGGAAATAGAATCAGCTTCCATTACCAGTGCATTAACTCCTAATCTTCTACTGCCCTCACAATTTCCTTCTTCCTGCTACACACATAGGGTGACTCATGGTTTATAAATTCTTACTCCAGTTCAAGGTATGTAATATGCAAAATTTTTGGTTTCCTTTATTTTTATAGTTATATTTAGCTGACAAATAAAATTAGACTGCATAAAATCTAATTATTTTGAATGAGATGTACTGGGAAATAAAACCAAATGGGTCTATTAAAAACAAACAAAAAAAACCCATTCTGGTTTATTGCTAAACTCAGGAAAAGGTCATTTATCTTCACCAGGCCGCCCTTCAATCTGAGGTGGTAATACAGGTCCAGCTTTCAGAAGTAGGAAGGCACTCACCAAGGTCTGTAGAAACTTTCTCAAACTGGCTGAGAACAGCACCTGCATTTGCTGACAAGAAGGCCTCATCATCTGCAGTCAGCTAAACAAAACAAAACAAACTCGTCTAATGCATTCAAATAAGAACCACGGTTAAGAATGCCTTATAGGACTACAAAGTAGATCACAGATCACAAGGATGCTTCACAGTGTTTCTTTATACCTAATATGTTAAGTAAAATACTGATACCTTCTCTCCAAGTTTCCTGAGAGCTGTCAATATCTCTACCTTCTGTTGAGTGTACAGGTCTCTTTCCAGCTTTCCCACCATCAGATCTCTATCCATCTAGAGTGGGTTAATGGAAAGCACACAGTATTTGAGTGAGAAAAATATTCTGTGCATGAAATTCAGCTTTTCAGACTTAGTTATTTTTTAAAGTTCTCTAGCTGATTAGTTCATGAAGAACTATAGAAATAATGGAAGACAAATGTGACAGAAGTGATTTTAAACAGCTGTAGTGAATATTCATGCTCATCACAATCATAGGTAGTCCCGACTTGCAACATACTCAAGTTAAGACAAACTGCACTTATGACTGTTTTTTGTCTTTGGACATCTGGTCATTAATAATATTACTGCATACAATGTTGCAATGTGACCATACAGACAACTCTCACTAGTTTTCTGACTAGAAATACCACTCCCATCCCCAAGGATAATCCAGATGACCCAGAACCTTTCACTAGTGGAGTTATTACTGGAGTTATTACTGCAAGTGGACAAAATGTCAATACAATCCATTTTTTTCACAGGCATGTGTATTTTTTATGTATGTATATATTAAAATACATCTGTAGGTATATGCAATATTTCCAACTCCCAATGAAGATACGCATAATCAAAGACAATAATAAAAACAAAAACGTGAAATATTGACTTACATCAGAACTGACAATGGAGTCATCAGTATGGAACTCTATCACAAGTCAGGGATTATCTGTATGTTGGAGTCCTGGTGTGGCGCTGTAGTATAAGCACTAGACTGCTAACCATAAGGTCAGCAGTTCAAACCCATCTCAGCCGCTCCTTGGAAACCCTATACAGGGTTGCTATGAGTTGGAACCAACTTGACAGCACTTAACAACAACAACAACAACACCCCTGTATTTTAGTTATAAATTCAGCTGAATTAGTAGGTCAGTAGTTTTCTTTAAAGAGGAGGAGTCCTGGTGTGGTGCTGTAGAATAAAGCAGTTCAAGGTCGGTGGTTCAAACTCACCAGCCACTCCTCAGAAACCCCACATAGGGTCCCTATGAGTCGGGACACTTACACTCTGTGGCACTTAACAACAACAACAATCCTCTAAGAACTCATTTCATTAAACTGAAGTGTAGTCTATAGCTTGAGGGGGACAACTGGTATTAGATCTTCTGGAGCTTAAGTAAAACATTCCGCCCACCAGAAACACTGAATGTGTGCACAGTGCATTGTTACTATTCTAACTGCTTTACCCATTACCGTTGCCAACAATTGATTCAGACTCAGAATACAACTGACCAGTAGGGTTTCCAAGGCTGTACATTTATGGAAGCAGATTGCTACATCTTTTTCCCATGGTGGCTGGTGATTTGAACTGCTGACATTCAGTTAGCAGCTGAATGCTTAAATAATGTGCCACCAGGATGCCTTTTAAGTACTTTACACTTATTAGTTAATAACCCTTATGACATCCTTAAGAAGAGGGACTATCATTATCACCATTTTAAGATGCAGAAGTTGAGGCACAAAGAGGTTACATAACTTGCCTAAAGTCACATATTTTTGCAGTGCAGCATGGATTCACTCCAGTCAGTCTGACCCAAGTTCATGTTCTTAACACTCTGCTACTGAATTATCCATGGTTGCAAATAACATATTGATGCCTCTTTTAAACTCAAGACTAGAAACAGACTTCCTTAAGTACTAGATCTATCAAGGTCTTAAAGATTCTTAGATGACAGATACTACATAAGCATAAAGCAATGCTGATAATGAATTCTAAATGGGATTTAAACGTGGGGCTCCAGAAGTAACAGTGAAACCTTAAAGGTGGAGTCCAAGTTGAAGCTTTGAGTGGACATTTAAACTGCCATGTGCTGCTTTAACGTCTATATTCCTATTCAACCATAATTGCTCAAAGGGCTAATTTTGTCAGAAAATTGTGGGTTGCTGCTCTAAATTTAACTGATCAATTTTTAAACTTTATTATATCAAACTGAACAAACTGTCAGGCTGGGAAGAGAAGCAAATACAGCAATCAGATCGATTTAAAGAAACTTTACCTCTGCTAACCTTGTCCGAAGCTGTCCTGGTTGTTTCTTTGCAAACAACCTGATGACCTCTGGAGTTTTAAAGGCCTGACTGATAGCTGCCTGAATAGCCTAGAAACACAGGAAGGCAAAAACTAACCAAAAAGTTTCAATGAATTGCACTGCATATTGCAACAATCATTTGCAAGCATACACTACAAAGTAAACCACTAAGAGACCATTTATATACTCAGCCATTGGTAAGTCTTCTTTGTTCATCAGTAAAATGTAATTTGAACTTCCATTTGCTACTTCTGTGCATGCCACTAAAGCCATGCATCTAAATAAATGAAGATTTGGATGCTTATACTGTTTTATGGATAATTAAACACTCATCGAGAAGTTATATATATAAAAAATAGAGTACCTTTCCTATCTTAACTATACTTTAAAAAAAGAAAATGTTAAGCCAATTCTGTCATCAATGCAAGTAAATTGTGCTTACCAGTTGCATTCCACTTAGTTCATCTACCAAAGTCATATCTCCAGACATAATTTTCTTCAGTGAATCATTAAATTCACTTAGCTGCTCCAGCGTTTCCTTTTTGGTTTCTTCATATTCCTCTGTATCAAGTTCCTCTCTAGAGCACATTGAACGTCATCACATAAAGAACAAACAAAAATAACCCTCACAGTCTCAAGTGAAAAAAGCAATTTTAGTACCAAAACTTACAAATACGTACATTTATAAAAATATCTTGGGGAAAAAGGCTAGATGTGACTATCAAAATGCTAATGATGAGTATGTTCAGATAGTAACAGTATGGCTGTTTTCCTGCAATGTGGTCATTTTAGTAAGAAGACTGTTATTTTACCAAGTGAAGCACATTTAAGAAACTTTCTTTAAGAGGTCTATGAATCAGTGGTATAACCTTGGGAAAACCTCAATCATTTTATCTATTGAGTTATAGGTAGATACTAATGTTATTGTTGTTGGTTGCTGCCACTGAGCTAGCTTTAGATATATACACAATGGAATTGGACCACTGCGATCCATAGGGTTATCACAGGTTGATTTTTCAGAAGCAGATCGCCAAGTTTTTCTTCTTGTCTGTTTTAATCTGGATGCTCCTCTGAAACCTGCTCAGCATCACAGGCCTCCAATGATAGAGAGTGGTTGTATTGGACAAAAATCAAACCCAGTTTTCTGGCAAGGGAGGAGAGAATTCTATCACTGCCCATCTCCACACCCTAAGGCAGACAATGACATCTACACCTTATATTAAGTGAGATACAGAAAGTATCTGTCATATAATAGGCATGTGATAAAGAACTGTCATTATCATCTTTAATGACAGTACTCTTGACTCATCTGTCAGTTTGTTGTTACTGTGGTGGCTTGTATGTTGCTGTGCTGCTAGAAACTATGCCACCGATATTTTATACACCAGTAGGCTCACCCATGGTGGACGGGCTTCAGCAGACCTCTTCTGAATGGTTAGCCATTGCAAACGTTATGAACATTGTCATATATAATGCCAGAAGATGAGCCCCTCAGATTGGAAGACACTCAAAACATGACTGGGAAAGACTTTCATTTACTAATGGGGCACAACTCAACATGAGAGGAAACAGCCGTAAACATCCATTAATAATCAGAACATGGAATGTATGAAGTATGAATCTAGGAAAATTGGAATTTATGAAAAATGAAACAGAATGCATAAAGATCAATATCCCAGGCAGTAGTGAGCTGAAATTGACTGGCATTGGCCATTTAAAATCAGACAATCATATGGTTTGCTATGTTGGGAACAATAAATTGAAGAGGAATTCCATCACCAAAAAGAATATTTCAAGATCTATCTTGAAGTACAATGGTGTCTGATAAATATCCATACACCTGCAAAGAAGACTAGCTAATATCACTATTATTCAAATTTACGAGCCATACTAATGCCAGTGATGAAATTAAAGAATTCTGTCAACTTCTGCAGTCTGAAATTGATCAAAAATGCAATCAAGTTGTATTGATAATCTCTGATGACTAAAAACATAAAAGTTGGAAGGTACAGCAGTTGAAAAATATGGCCTTGGTGAGAGAAAATACGCTGGAGATTGCATGACCAATGACTTATTCATTACAAATACCCTTTTTCAATACCGTAAACCACAGCTACACACATGGACCACACTGGATGAGATATACAGGAATCAGAATTACTCTATCTGTAGGAAGAGACTGAAGAAGCTTAATATCATCAGCCAAAACAAGGCCAGGGGCAGACTGTGGAACAGATCATCAACTGCTCCTATGCAAATTCAGGCCGAAGCTGAAGAAATGTAAAATAAGTCTATGAGAGTCAAAATATGACCTTGAACATATCACATCTGAATTTAGAAACCATCTCAAGAACAGATTTGATGCATTAGACACTAATGACCAAAGACCAGAAGAGTTGTGGGAAGACATCAAGAATATCATACATAATGAAAGCAAAAGGAAATTAAAGGGGTAAAAAAGAAAAGACCAAAATGGATGTCGGAAGAACTTGCTCTTGAGTACAGAGAAACTAAAGCAACCTGAAGTATTATAATGAACTGTGCAAAGACATAAAGTTAGAAAACCAAAAGGGAAGACCATGCTCAGTATTTCTCAAGCTGAAACAACTGGAGGGGGAAAAAAAAAAATTCAAACCTCAACTTGCATACTGAAGGATTCTATGGGTAAAATATTGAATGATGCAGGAAGCATCAAAAGAAGATGGAAGGAATATGCATAGTCACTGTGTATTGAACTTGTCAATGTTTAACCATTTCAAGAGGTAGCATCTGATTCAGAACCTATGGTATTGAAGGAAGAAGTCCACGCTACATTGAAGGCACTGATGAAAAACAGGGATCCAAGAATTAAGCTGAAATG